ATTGTACTACGTGATGATGATTACATTAAGGAATCCATGTGAGATCATTTCTGCTACAGTCTGATGTCTAACCTTTTTCACTGGTTATTCTGTCCACAAGGCAAGAAAAATAAATGCAAAAAATAAAAGTGCAATTACATTTCACTTGATTTCAACAAAAGATAATTTTTTCAGACATGCACCTAGCTTTTTTAAGTTGTGATTTATTACTGATTTGAAGTTAATTATTGAGATTTTAATAAGATACTATGGTAAAATGAATAACAATGAAATATTACATGTAAAATATTATATCGTAGTACTTTCTCCTCCTGGACGGGCTGCTCTGAGCTCTGCATATAGAGGGACTGATGTGCAACTGGCAAATATTTAGAAAAACAGAACCTAGAACAGCATAGCTTAGTGGAAAAGAGCAGTGCACACATCCCTGTCATCCTAAGTGTACAGTGCTGGTCTTATCTGCTAGCGAAGAGATCCTTTTCAGGATGATCCTCCTTTTTATTACCTTGAAAATTCATGGTCTTCTTCAGTCTCTTAGCTGGTTTAATGATTTTCATTTTGAAAAATTGTTCTCTAATAATATTGGCTAGTTTAAAATTGGGCCCACAAAAGATACTTTATCCATTTATATTTTTAGCCATCTAATCATTGCTTTGGAAAGGTTGATCTTATCTACTGATTCTCATACTTTGTTGTGTGTCAGAATCAGTTGGAGGGTTTATAAAATACAGATTCCTCCCAGAGATTGTGATTTAGTAGGTCTGGGATAGGGCCCAATAAATTGTATTTCTAACAAGTTCCCAGGTGACCCTGATGCTCTGTAATCCCTAGAAATAGCATAAATCGCAGATCAACACATCCCATTTGAAGGGAAAAGTTAGGGAAGAAATCATTATCAGTCGAATCAAGGCCAACAATTGTTAGAGTTTTTGTTGATGTTGCTTTGTTTTCGTACAAAACAGTCTCCCTGGAATTTCATTGCTGATGCATTTTCCCAAATCCTTTACCCACTCTTGGGTCCAGGCAAAATTTCCTTATCAGAAGACCATTTGATTACCAATTAGGTTGTTTCAGTGGAGAGGAATCACTTGTAAATTGAATATCCACTGTCTAATAAGAATTGGCGATGTTCCTCCAAGAGATAGAAAATTCAGATAAATAAGCTACTTGAATTAGAAATAAAAATTAGTACACTGTACTCTATATTCCCTGTCCTTGGGAGCATGTGGAAATCAAATCTACTGCCTGCAGGCAAGTATGTATAACTTTATTGCTGTGACAATAGTTTGAGAAATGTGAGGATGGGAGAAGAAGCGACATGAATGAGTCAGGGATTGAGTGAGGAGTTCCAGGTATTGGTGAGTAATTTGTAGCTTTCCTATAAAGCACAATTAATATTTCAGGCAAACAAGTTTTAAATCTTCGTGCATCTAGGTTCCAGAATCATAGGATTTGGTACTGCGTGAAAAGTCTGCATCTGATTACAGATGAGCAGAGGGTACCTTATTGTTTTAGAATAAATCAGGTTACACTGCCATCTTTGCTTCTTTCCAGTGGGTCTGTAGTCATCACCTAAGACTGATTTGAGAAAATGTCATTGGGAGCTTGGGATCTGAGGATATTTCTGGAAATGTTTTGATGCCATATAGAGTTTTTTATACATCTTTTTGTTTTGCCTGTATACCTGCATAAAAAGAATTGGAATTATCATAATCACTTTTGAATGATGTTTTGGTATCCCTCTTATATGTTTATCATTAGTTTTGCATATTCTGTTTAAAACCACTGGGAAGCATTTAGACAGTGATTTCATTTTTTGACAGTAGATACTATTAAAAATTATTGGATGAGTGTAGAATGAATATAAAATGATTTTTAGATCAGTTTCCAACATTTTTATTAAATTGGATTAACATTTATTATATTGAGGTTTTTTTTAAGATTTTATTTATTTATTTGACAGAGAGAGAGGGAGAGAGCACAAGCAGGGGGGAGCGGGAGAGAGAGAAGCAGGCTCCCCGCTGAGCAGGGAGTCCGATGCGGGGCTCGATTCAGGACCCTGGGATCATGACCTGAGCCGAAGGCAGATGCTTTAACCAACCCAGCCACCCAGGCGCCCCTATACTGAGATGTTTTTAAATGCCTATTTATTCTAGCCTGGCATTTGAGTTAGCTTGTTGTGGTTTTTATATTATAGAACTTAAAATCTTTCTTTCCAAGTTAGTAAATTGGTTTTATAAATGCCCAAAAAGAAACCTAGTGACATTTCTTTACTGACATTGTTGAGATAATGTGAGAGGAATTATACAACAGTCTTAATATTTAAGTTGTTGGTTAATGGAACTATGATAATCAATATACTTGGTGATTTTAATGATGCTTATTTTTCCTCTGAGGATCAAGCGATACCTATTTTATGATAAGTGTCCAATGTCTTTTCACTCGAAACTAACTATTCATTGTTAAGAGGTGAAAGACAAGACAGCTAATGGGGAAAAAAAAAACACTGAAAAAATGCAGGGATGAAATGTAAATAAAGCTCAAGTGGAATAACTTGGTCAACATGAAGAAGACACATTACACTATTTTATGTGGAATGCCTTTTCCTGGAACTTCTGAGAAATAGGATAATTACTAACTCACTCTTTTGGAGTTTTATTTTATTTTTTATGATTATAAAAGTTGGGGAGACTGTTTTTGTCAATTGTGGTCTGAGGGTATAATTTAAATTTAAAATGACAAAAGATGTATATTATGTCATTAGTGGGATTTTGTTATTCATCTTCCATGTACATTACTAGTTGTGCATGTTCTGTTCAAAACCACTCTGAAACATTGGGTGGTTCCATTTTTCATTACTAGATAATATTAAAATTTATTCTGAATATCTCTCATAATTATTTGCATCATTTTAGGGAGGGACAGGATGGCAGACTTGAGAATGTGGTGGGAAGCCTGCTGCATTAGAAACCACCTCCTAAATGAGTGGATTTCATCTACTTTCTTCTTACTATAAGACACTGTTGTTCAAAAGAACTCTTACATATTCCAGTATAAACAAATAAAAGGAAGGTTGCTCTGGCTTGGGGAAGAACCTCTTCTGGAGAGTACTGTGAGTTGACTCCCAGGTCCCACGGCATCCTGAGGGACAGAGAGTTTGAACACCATTGTAGCAAATTCTAAATTTCCTCCCAGGTCTAAAATGCAATGCTCAGGTCCATCATCCCTGAGGTAAATTGCCAACTCCACAATATTTCCATCTCTTGAATTTTATGTATTGATTTCTTAACTGAGTGAAAGTTTATTTGCAATATAAATGGAATTAAATATTTTTTTTGACTGACAGAAACATAAGATTTTCTTGTTTTGTCTTAAGTCACATGCACTTTGGAATAACTTCTTTTTTAAGAACCTTGTAACTTACTGGTCCGAATATAATTTTGCAGGAGGTAGAAGTTAATCTATGAAAGAAGGAAAATTCAGTGCCACTTTCTTCAGCAGTGGGTTATCTGCCTAATGACTTAGCACTCTTCCTTCCTTCCACCCAAACTCTATGTCTCCTTGTTGTCTTTCCCCTGCCCCACACTCTGTGGTTGACCAAGATCCTTCCTTCATCTGATTGTCCTGGGAACCTTGAAACACTCTGCTTTTCCCCTTTCCTTCTCTGTTGCTACTAATGCGTTAAGAATTACATTTTCCCCGCTGATCTAGTTTAGAAGAGCAAGAAGAGTTCTCAGGACTAGTGGATTATCACTTTTGGGTGTGCCCTTGGGAGTGGTTAGATGCTACAACACAGTTTGTAATGCAGAATTTATTTCTCATAGAGAGATGATGTTATAAGTGTACACCAGAGACTATAGAATGTTTAGACTATAGAATGTTTAGTAATAAACATTATAGAATGTTTAGTACAGTTCATTTACTCTACAGGTGAATTCCACAATATGTGTTGGTCTGGGAGCCTATCAAGTGTTATAAATGCTATTTCTATAGAAAAGTTGGATCTCTGTTTCAGGTAGAGATGAATGCAGAATATTCCTAGTTGGGGACTGACCATATTTATGGGTTGATCCCGGGGTGCATATATTCAGTGGTTCTGCATCTATCCATTAGACAGCATCAACACTTTCTTTTCCTTTTTCTTTTCCACAGTGAATTTAGCCTAAGAGGCTGAAATAGAGAGAACATTTTCAGATCTGAGCTATGTTTTCTTTTTAATTTGATAGACTAGAAACTGGATGCAATAAAATGGAGAGGTGGTACTAAGATCACATTAGGATTTGTGAAATGGACAATTGCCTTACATAAATAGCAAGTAAAAAATCAAGCGAGTTCTTCATAAACATTTTATTCTGGGGCGTGCTTATTTTCTGAAACTACCTCTACTAAATCTCCTGTCAGTCTTGAAACTAGAAGGCAGAAAAGCTTCTAGTGCCACAGCCAACTGCAGTGGAGCCAGAGAAACAGGCAACAAAAATAGAACACCAGGATTGCTGTGCGTGGGTGAGGCAGAAACCACATTATGAGCAAAAGCTTCCAGTATTATTTTAGAACCAATACAGAGCTCTGCACTTCTCTCCTTTCTCTTCCAAAAACACATACTATAAAAATAAAATGAAATTAAATGTATGTGCATTTGCCCTCTTAGAATTATGATGCTTAATTTTTTTTTTTTTTTTTGCCTTCCTTTCTTTGGAGGCGAATCTCCAGTGTGGAAATACAGTGTGTAAAGCAAGCTTGGAGGGAGGAAAGAGTTAATTGCTTTTAAGGCCCTGCAATAGAGAATTATGGTTTGAAAGATAGAGGCTGGACAGCTGGGTTTGCTGGGGTATTTTTAAATGCATTAATGCAAGCTCCAATCACTCGGCCATGCTTGACCTATTTTTGGCTCAGGCCGACCATTGTTCTATTTCTGTGCCTGTGGGCCATGCCGTTGTTGATTCATATGCAAATGGATTATCACTAGCTTTAGCCAACTTGAGCTGAGAGAGACCAGAGAGGGGGAAGAGACACACACAAACAGATAGAAGGGCACCGGCTGAAGCCACTTGCAGGACTGAGGGTTCTTGCAACGAAACTCTAGCAGCCTGAAGAACTATAAGCCAGGTTTAATTGGTTTCTTTTTCTCGTGGGTAGAGTTAATATTTTTCTACTTATTCTGACAAAGCAATAACCCCGAAGCACATTCCTGTTTCCCACCTGCTTTTAGTTTCTGGGATAACCTAAACTCCAGAGAGCCATAGCATCCACTCGGTCCTTTCTGCTTTGTACACAGGTTGGTAACATAGGAAAAGTGTCCAGATCTTTTTAAAAAGTGTATGTCCACCTTAACAGAAAGGAAATCGTTGTTGAAGTTGGTCGGCTGCTGCCTTTCCTCGGGGAGGAGGGAGGACCAGGGAGGGTAGTTCCTGGGGCCCGTGCACTGAGCAGCGATGAATCTTTCATGTAGCTGAAGTAAGAGTGATTGGAATATGCTGCAGACAATTTACGAGAGTGACTCGTGTTTTTCCTCAGATGGGGTGGCTGGACGAGAGCAGCTCTTGGCTCAGCAGAGAATGCACAGTATGATCAGCTCAGGTAAGATCCTCTTCCATAACTGAGACATTTTATGTGTGAAAGGAGGCTGACTTGGGAAATGCAGCTAAGAAAAAGCACCTCTCAAGGATTTGCTTCTTTTTGGTGTTGATGTTGCTATTTTCTTGGTGCGTCTGTAGGGTTTAACTTAGATCCCTTCCATTACCGTTTCTGTGCATATTCAGTGTTTAGGGACGACAGCTTCTGAATGAAATCTCAAAGCTTCTGATGAAGGATGGGACTGAGATAAGTAAAATGTAGCTGGGGGTGCTTTGCCTTACTGTGCAACTAGAAGAAGGAGATCTGTACTGATTGCAAGCTATTCTAATGGGACTTTAAAAATCAGGTAAGTTCATACTGGAGTTTCAGTTTAAATTGCAGCCTGCGCTAGCCAGATGATTTTATATTTACAGTGTGCATCCAGAAGCACATCTATTTATAGACCTACCTTCTGAAATGTGTTTGCTAGGAGTTGCAAAGGTAGTTTTAATGTGTTTTTTTCTCATCAGCCCAAAATGAAACTATTTAGGATGGAATAAAATTATTAGCAGATGGTTATTTTAATTTTCTTGAAAAACATTTGGAGAGTCTAGCGTTGTCAGGCAGATGGACGGCATAGCACACACATAAAGGTGTTACATGCAGGTGCAACCCTTGAAAGAATAACAGTAACAGATTCTCGTTTCCCAGCGTATGTACTTGTGCCTTCAAGGCGATGTGCTGAGGAGATCAAGCTTGTCAGCATTATCAATTTCTATTTGTGAAAAGAGCAGACTCTCTGGGCAATATCACTTAGTTGTAATTGTTGCTCTTCATATTTAATCCTACAGCCAGTTCCTAAAGCTTGGGGCTTTATATTTCCGTCCTCTTTGGAATGCTTCCGTCTAAATTGGCTCAAAGTTCTCCCTCACGTCTTCTGAGTTCCTATGTGGGCTTAATCGTAATTCTAGATCACCACATAGATCTATGCAAAGAATGCAACATAAAGCAGCGTTTGCTTGGTAGAGCTAGGATGTGAAAGAAATATTCCACAGGTTGGCACGATGTCTGTTTCAGTGCTGAGCACCTTCCCATTTACGGATCTATGTTTGAAGCAAGTTTTCTTTAAACCTCGGTCAGTTGTGATGATTTTGAGATACTTCTCTTGTCCTGATTTTTTCTTGGACTCCGAATTAGAGATCAATTTTGTGTAATCTGATATGTTTGCACTTACGTGACAGGAATTATATTATTTAGTAGTGTCCGCTTATCTGAAGCAAACATGCGAGAATTTTAATACGGTTTATTATCTTCCATTATCTTTGTGGCTGTGAAGTTGACAAGAGGTTGGGGAGGGGTCAGCTGGTGGGTCTCAAATGGAACTGGTCACTTAATTTAGCATTTTATTTTTTAAATCTGGATCGACTTTCTAAAAATAACTATGTTAGGGATCTTTTCAGTACTACACTTTATCCTTTCAGTCCTTGCCTCTGTGTAACAAGTTTAATGTTTCTTTCACATGGTAGAAACAAAGCTGTGCCTTTCAAGCAGGGACTGGCTGCTGACATTGAATCTCTTGCCACAGGCTACAGGTGTTTGCAAAAACCTCACCGTTTTCAATGTCTTTGATAATCACATGTAACTTTACTCCATTTTTCAGTTGAGATTGCCATTTTCCTGACGTTAAAGCAATAATATTTTCAAGCAGGGAATTGCTTGAGACTGTCAGTGCTGTTGTCGATTCTCTAGGAAGGGAAACATCCCTTGAGCACCAACTATTAAATGAGAAGTGATGTAGATTGACATCAACTCCCAAGCCTGTCTGGTATAAATCAGGAACTCCAGGTTCTGTTTATTTTTAAAATTTGAAACCTGAAATCATGTGCATCCATACTACCATGTTGTGTAACATTTGATTTTGTTTAATATGCTACAGCCTTGAATTTAAGTCCCCCAGTCTTTATTGTATACTTCCTCTGGGCATTGGCTCTCAAACTTGGAGTCATCAAAAATATTTTACAAAATACTGAAGCCTTGGTCACACCCCCCGAGTTTCTGATTTAACTGGTATGGGAGTTAACCTGGAGATTGGAATTTTTAAAATCTTTTGAGCAAATCGAGGGTGCAGTAAACTTTGAGTATCACGGATGTACCACTAGGAGAAAGTGATGGTGATCCTGGTGACCCATTTCAGTAGGGTTTTCCTTTAAGTTAATTGCTAAATTTGGGGTGTGTTTGTCTTAATGCATCTACAAATTTCATTCCACTCCCTTTTGGACCAGTGGCATGGATGTGATTGATACGCATAGGAATGGATGGAGTCTTTGGATCTGAAAGAGCTATCTGGTGGCAGTGCAGAGTGTTGGAGAGAACATTGTTCTGGGAGTCAAGAGCTCTGTGTTCTAGCAAGCGCCAGTGGTATAACTGGTTACTCATCTGTAAACTGAACAATAATGATGTCCTCCTGTTTACCTCTTGGCATTCTTATAAGGTTCAAATGTAACAACATGTTATTAAAGTGCAGACTCACTATTATTATAACTATTTTTAGTGAGCGAACCTGGGCTTCTGGCTCTTCAGTACCATGCTCTATCTTGAGGAACAAGCTAGATAAATGAATTTGATTGTATGTCACATGGAACAGTGATGTTTTGTTTTGATAGTAAGTTTTATTTGGTTATTTTATATGCCAGCTACTTTTTTTGGTTTTCCTGGTCTAATCCAGGAAAGAACTAATACTTTCCTTGTGCAAATTGTGACTGTAAATCAGAGTAGCTTGTATGTGTGTGTGCATGTGTGTTTTGTAAAATGCCTCATTACGTAATAACCAAAGGCCAAGAATTTGCAGAATATGTAATTGAACAGTGAAACCCCAACAGCAGATTTCTTGGATGAATTGTTTTAAAAAGCTTTGTTTTATTGTTAGCTATTGCTTTGAAGTTCCCATTTGCTATTTTAGTTAAACTGGATACTATGCATTAATAAAGATGATTTTCTTCAGAGTTCTTTATAGACTGTTGAATTGCAAGTATTTTATATGGTTCCATTTTTTTCCCCTAATATTGACTCAGCTAAGCAAGACATTCTAGGTAGAATTAGGTTTCTACAGCATAGTCCGCTAATGTATTTAGTTAAAAAGCTCTATAATATTGAATCTTGGAATTCCTTATGAGTGACACATTTTGCTAGGTCAGTCTCTACTTCTGTGGCTTGTGTGGGCCAATATAAGTGATAACTGTGGCAGAACTGAAGCACATACAAATACTGACTCAGGTCACTTAGGAGTAGCTGGCAGAATTTGGGGTGTTCTCCTGTTGCCAGGCATGTTGCTTAACTTGTTGGACAGCAGAGCTGTCCAGACAGCATTGGAACGATTACTATAAAAGAATTTCCTAGAGTTTGTACAGCATTAATGTAAAATACATTTAAAATAAGGAAAACTCATATTTTTACTATGTATTCTTATTTTAGGGTATAAAAGAAAAGCATTTAAATCTGAATCCTGAATTTCTTTTATGGAAAACATATCTTCACCCTTTCAGAATCCTTCCCTCCCCCCTTCGTGTGCATTGTTGAGGGGAAAGGAATATTTTAGATTCAGTAGCCATTTATGTCTGCTTGGAAAGCAGAATCTAATTATGAAAATGTAAGTCTGTGAAATGCTCCTGTCATGTCAAGAATCACTTCTGGTATTTCCCATAATTACTGCTTTGCTGTTCTCTAACTCAAGTTATCTTCACTTACAAGGCTGTTATCAATTTGAATATCTGATAGGTAGTGATCAGAAAGCTAGTTATCAGTGGGCCCATTGAGGATGGGGACAAGAATGAGTATTTTATATTTCTGTGGGTGACACCAGTGGAATAACTGTTCCATCCATTAAGCAAGAAAATTCAATAAAACCCCTTGGAAGACTAAAATAAACCCAAATTCTGATTTTAAAAATGAGGATTTTGATTTTTGAAGATGAGAAGTTTGAAAACTACATAATTTCTCACCATTGATAGATAATGAAGTGATTCCGGAATGGTGTAAGCTGGCAAACACTCACCCTGCACATGTGTGTGCATGCACACACACACACACACACGTGACAGGTGCAATATTCAGCATTAAGTGTGTAGAGAATGTGATAGGACCTAACATATCTCAGAAACTAATAGTCAAGGAAAAAATGGGACTGAAGGTTTTTGATCCGAACAGAGAGACCTAACAGGGCCTACATCCTAGGCCTCCTTAGAATTTTACTGACAAGATAGCAACTTCCTGAAAATTCTCACTAACATTCTCAAATCTGAAGAGAAGCAAACTGAGTAGATATCCTCGGCTTTTGTGGTGGTGGTGGTGGTGGATGCTTCTTGTGAGTGAGAAATAGTAGAAATGATTCTGGAAAAGAAACTAGTGAAATGGGTGAACAAACCCTGCCTCTCTGGAGAAATGAAGGCATCAGAGCAAAACTCCAAACTGGGAAAATGATCCATAGTTCTTTTCAACGAAATACCCTTTTCCAGCTAATCTTAGATCTTCCACCAAGAAGAAAGCATCAATTTACTGAATCCATGGAATTGTCTAATAATTGTTCCCCACAAATAGAGCTCCTTAATAAGAGCATAAATTCCATAAAACAAGAGCTCAAAGATGAGATGATAAAACAATAGCATGAGATGAAAAAGGATATTTTAGATCTAGGGAAACAAATTGAAAATGAAAAAACCATGGTAATTATAGAACAAAAATATTCATTAGAAATAGCAGGAAGCAGAACAGACACCAGTAAAACTCTTTACCAACAAAGGGGAAAGGTTTAAGACAATCACAGGGAATGAAAAAGGAAAATGAATTCAAGCAATTGGAAAGAAGTGAATTAATAAGAAAGACAAAGGCAGCATAACAAAGAGATTATTTATATCCCTGAAGTTGATATTCTAAAGCAATGAACAGAAGATAATTTTGTGAAAAGATGAAAGATTATTTAAATACATTGGAAAAGAAAAAAATAAGTCTGTAGATTGAAAGGCCTCTCC